TGGGGTCAAGAAACGTGTGAGGGGTGTGCCAAAATGGTGCGGCGGCGCCATGCAAACTGCGCCAGTGGGATCTTAGGTGGAGCTCCCTATGAGACCACGAAGCGTGTGAGGGGTGTCCCAAAATGGGGCGGCAGCGCCATGCGAACTGCGCCACTGCGACCTTAGGTGGAGCTCCCTGTGGGGCCACAACACTTGTAAGGGGTGTCCCAAAATGGGGCGGCGGCGCCATGCGAAGTGCGCCACTGCGACCCCAGGTGGGGCTCCTTATGGGGCCACGAAACGTGTGAGGGATGCGCCAAAATGGGGCGGCGGCGCCATGCGAACTGCGCCACTGCGACCCCAGGTGGGGCGCCCTACTGGGACTGCGAAACGTGTGAGGGGTGTCCCAACATGGGGCGGCGGCGCCATGCGAACTGCGCCACTGCGACCTTGGGTGGACCTCCCTGTGGGGCCACGAAACGTGTGAGCGATGTGCCAAAATGGGGCGGTGGCGCCATGCGAACTGCGCCACTGCGACCTTAGGTGGAGCTCCCTCTGGGGCCTCGAAACGTGTGAGGGGTGTGCCAAAATGGAGCGGCGGCGCCATGCAAACTGCGCCACTGGGACCTTAGGTGGAGCTCCCTCTGGGGTCACGAAACGTGTGAGGGGTGTGCCAAAATGGGACGGCGGCGCCATGCGAACTGCGCCACGACAACCTTAGGTGGCGCTCTTTCTGGGGTCACGAAACGTGTGAGGGGTGTGCCAAAAATGGGGCGGCGGCGCCATGCGAACTGCGCCACTGCGACCCCAGGTGGGGCTCCTTATGGGGCCACGAAACTTGTGAGGGGTGCGCCAAAATAGGACGGTGGCGCCATGCGAACTGCGCCACGACGACCTTAGGTGGAGCTCCTTATGGGGCCACGAAGCGTGTGAGGGATGTCCCAAAACGGGGCGGCGGCGCCATGTGAACTGCGACTGCGCCACTGGGACCTTAGGTGGAACTCCCTGTGGGGCCACGAAACGTGTGGGGGGTGTGCCAAAATGGGGCGGCGGCGCCATGCGAACTGCGCCACTGGGACCTTAGGTGAAGCTCCCTATGAGGCGGGAGGGAGGGAGGGACGCGGGGCGCTGTCTATTCAAAACGAGGACCCGACACCACAAGATGGCTGGGAACAATCGAAGAGGACCCCCTCAAAAGGACACCCGGACGGTCCACTGGCGCGCCGAGCCGCCCAAAGATCTCCCCCAGCCGCCCGAGATGGTCTCAAGACTCTCCCAGACGCCCCCAGAGAGCCCCACAAGCACCCCCAACAGAGTCCAAATACAGTAGGCCACAATGCGCGGACCCCTTGGGATCTGCTGGGCGCGCCCTCCCCAGACCCCTCCCCCAGGAGCCCCGTCCCGTCGGTTTTGAAGGGGGACAGCTCCAGCTCGCTCCAAACAGCAGCGAGCGCCCCCCGAGACGCCCCCAGGGGGCTCCAGGAGGGCTCCCGAAAGAAAGGCCCAAAGAAAGAAACCATCGTCCCAATCCCAATGGGAGACGTGTACTTACTTTTGCGTATTGGCTGCTTTCAGTTTCGAAAGCGTCCCAGATGGCCCCAGAGGCGCCCAAGGTCGCCCCAAAACGGCCCACGCGGCCGAAAGCCCGAAGACGGTCAGAGAAGCCTCCAAGAGCGCCCCAAGACGGCCCCAAGAGGGGCCCCGGAAGCCGACGAAACCCCCTACACGGCAGGAGCCCTGTGAGGACAAGGAGTCGCTTGGTGCTGGCCGTGCATCCTGGGCTCCGTTCATCGATGGGCAGCACCCCCAGCAGAGCACGGAGAAGAGGAATGCCTCGTTCTTCCTTCGCCACGCTCAGTAAAACACCCCCTCCTCCTCCCCCTCCTCCTCCTCCTCCACCTCCTCCTCCTCCTCCTCCTCCTCCTCCTCCCCCTCCTCTTCTTCTTCTTCATCATCATCATCATCATCCTCATCATCGTTGTCACCATCACCATCATCATCATCATCATCATCATCATCATCATCATCATCATTATCATCATCATCATCATCATCAGCATCATCACCAGCATCATCAGCATCATCAGCAGCAGCACCATCATCATCATCATCATCATCATCATCATCATCATCATCATCATCCTCCTCCTCCTCCTCCTCTCCTCTCCTCCTCCTCCTTTCTTCTTCATCATCATCATTATCATCCTCATCATCGTTGTCACCATCACCATCATCATCATCATCATCATCATCATCACAAGCATCATCAGCAGCAGCAGCAGCATCATCATCATCACCAATCATCATCATCAGCAGCAGCATGATCATCATCATCATCAGCATGATCATCATCATCATCATCATCATCATCATCATCATCATCATCATCATCATCATCATCATCATCATCATCATCATCATCATCATCCGCATCATCATCCTCCTCCTCCTCCTCCTCCTCCGCCTCTGACCTCCCTGCTGAGGCGGCTCCGCGCCCCGAGCCCGCGCCGCGCCCGCGGTCCTCCAGCACGGGCGGCGCCTCCTGGGCCGCCGGGGGCGCCCACAAGCTGCGGAGGCTCGCGCCCCCGCCGTCCTCCGCGGGGGGGGGGAGAGGAGGAGGAAGAGGAGGAGGAGGAGGAGGAGGAGGAGGAGGCGGAGGAGGAGGAGGCGCCCAGACCCCTCGGGCAGCGCCAAGGTTGGCAACCTACCAAACCACCCCCACTAAACCCGAAGACCCGAATTTCGGGTTGGGGGGGGTACGGGCTTCATGCGTGTGTTTCTCAACGTTCCCAGACCCACCCCCCAACTGGAAATGGAGGGCAAATTGGGGCCTTCGGGTTGGCTCGGGGTGGTTTGGTGGGCGGTGAAAAGTTGGCCACCAGGTGGTGGTGATGCTGGCAATGCCGATGCCGATGGTGATGGAGATGGTGGTGGTGGTGGTGGTGGTGGTGGTGATGGTGGCGGTTGTGACGGCGGCGAACATGATGTTGACGAAGGTGATGCTGATGGTGACGGTGGGGGGGCTGATGATGGGTGGTGAGCGATGGATGCTAAATGATGGCTGGGGAATGATGATGGTGGTGGCAAGCGTAAGAGTGATGGAGATGCGGACGCTGAGATCCGGTGAAGCTGCCACCAGCAGCTTAAACTAGACCGTGAGATCCGGTGCAGCGCATGAGACATGAGCCGCTCTCTGCCACTGCCAGCGCGGTTCGAGATACCACCTCCATGGTGCAAAGAGCCCCCCACCGCTCTTGCCGAGCACGCCGCCTCGCGAGGCAGCCATGTCAGCAACGCGGCGGAGGTTGGCCTGGCTGACGGCCCCGAGCTTGCCGTAAGTCTGGGCGGACACGGCCGAGACCTGGCCGCCGTACAGCGTAAGCTTATGAGCTTCTCGTCCGCCGCTGCCACGGCGGCCCCGGACGCCGCGGCGCGAGCTCCCTGCGCACTGCGGGCGCTGTGCGGGCAGCGCACGGCCACGTCGAGGAAGAAAGACGAGAGGCCCCCTGGGAGAGACACGGCAACGCCCAGGATAGCCTCGGCCACCTCTCTCTCCTTCTCGGCTGACTCGGTACAAGCTCGGCACCTTGCCGTCGCTCGGACGTCCATGTCCCGTGTTTTTGTCCGGTTTCTTGTGCGTGTTTTTTTCTGCTCGCTGCTCCAGGAGGGTCCTCGATGGTTCTCGCCGGGAAAAATGACTACCTACCAGACCACCCCAACCCGACCCGAAGGCACGAATTTGACCCGAATTTCGGGTTGGGGGGGGGTACGGGGACCATGTGTTTTTCCGACGTTCCCCGATCCCCCCCCACTGGAAATTGAGGGCAGATTGAGGCCTTCGGGTTGGGTTGGGGTGGTTTGGTGGGTGGTGAAAAAATGCACACGTCCGAGCGATGCCGAAGGCACGGCGCGCTCGGCACCTTCGGAGCACCCGCGCTTTCTCATGCAGAGCGGCCCGGGCCCACGTTGCTCTCGCGCGCGGGTGGCCCCACGGGGCCGACGGCGGCGTGAGGCAGCGGCCTGCCCCTCCTCCTCCCCCTCCCCCTCCCCCTCCCCCTCCCCCTCCTCCTCCTCCTCCTCCTCCTCCTCCTCCTCCTCCTCCTCCTCCTCCTCCTCCTCCTCCTCCTCCTCCTCCTCCTCCTCCTCCTCCTCCTCCTCCTCCTCCTCCTCCCTCTGCCAGCCCAGGGCACCTGGCACACGGCCGCTTGCGGGGCTTCGGGGCGATGCCGAGTCGACGTCGGAGCGCCAGGCGGAAGTGGTCGTCGTCCATGCACTCTGCCGTGTGCCGCGGAGGCTGCGACCACACCTTGCCAGCGTGCGGGCCGCCGATGGAGAGGAGTGAATGGGGCCCTGGGACACACAAATAAATACGCACAAATAACAGGATTCCCATATGTTCGCATAGTTTCTGGGTTTTCGTCTTCCCCCCCACTTCCCATAGTTTCCCATATTTTCTGGCCACTCGAGGATTAATTGTATATGTGTGTTTCTTTTAACGGGCGAACAAAAAGTATAACATAAACTTTTTCGCCGTCGGGGACACCTGCCCCAGGGCGGCTGGAAAATTTATACCCTTACGGTGGCACCGTAGGGGTATAAACTTCCCAACCGCCCAGGGACAAGCGCCCCCGACAGCGAAAAAAATTATGTTATACCTTTTTTCGCTCGCTGATTCTTTCCCTCGTGAAGGAGGACCTCGCGCACGACCTCCGGCTCAGTTGCCTGGAAGGCCCTCGCCGCCCAGGGCCTCGCACGCGCGGCGAATGCTGCGGCTGTGCAACCGCGCGCCCGGGCCTCGCACCTCGCCGACGGCGCACGGCGGCGAAGACGCGTGAGCACGTCAACTCTGAAGGGGCCCCGGGACACACACAAAGAAATACACACAAATAAAACAAAACAATCCCCATATTTTCCCATATGTTCTGGGCTTTTGTCTTCCCCCCCCCCCACTTCCCATATTTTCCCATATTCCCTGGGGAATCGACGATCAATTGTGTCTGTGTGTTGTTTCCCCTCCTGAAACTCACGCATCGTCACCCCCATGGGCCAGACGCGCACTTGGTCTGGGCGGCCGCCATCTCAGCCGTGCCACTCGCCACGTCGGCGTCCGCGCCCGCCGCCTGGCGCCCGGCCTCGGGGTGCGAAACCGCGCTGGCCGGGGCCGCAGCGCCACGCGCAGGGCGCCCGAGCTCCGCGCAGACGACCTGGACCGTGGCCCGCGTGCTCATGCACGTGGCCAGGAAGGCTGCATCCGCGCTCAGGGAGGGGAGTCTTGACGGCATCCCGCCCAGCGGCCCAGGCAGCCGCAGACGCGCCCAAGCTGCCGCGTCGATGCCTTTGCCCGCGATGGCCGCTGCGACCTTGCGGATGCACGTCTCGAGGCGAGCCGCCAGCGGGTCCACAGCGACTGCCGGAATGATGCGGATGCCGTAGGATATAGCGCCCCCTTTCACACACGTACTCAGCAGCCACCCGGTGATGCTGACGCAGCGCGAGTCCGCCGACTTCTCGAGGAACCTCGGCAGGCGCTGGCCCAGACGCTCCGGCTTCCACAGGCGCTCATATGCTGGTTGGAGCGCCAGCTGTGCAGGGCCCAAGAATGTCTCGTAGGACGCCTGCGCGACATTTCCCTTGCCCTCCAAGCCGCCAAACGCCATAGGTAGATCTTCGAAGCCTCGCCGATGTGCAGCCCAGATGTCCCCGATCTCTATGTGATCGCATGCTGGGAGCCAGACTTCGGACTTCGTCAGGCTAATCTCGTGGCCACGCTGGCTCAGCGCCTCGGTGAGGAACGGCCAAACCTCAGCGAGTTGAGACAGCTCGCCAAGTATCGCTCAACTGATCCCCATTCCCATCAGCGTGGCCTGGGCCCCACCGGCCGATTTGCCCCCCCAGATGGGGATATAGAGGTCGTCCTCTTCGGGCTTCGAGGCGTGCATCCCCAACTGGGGTGGCAATTTGCGTGGGTGTCTCGAAGGGCATGGGGATGGGGATGGGGATGGGGAGCGGTTCAACGCTACCGACTCGCCGATCAAGCACGTGTCGTCTTGGCGTGCTGGCGTCTCGAGGCCGCGGGCGAAGGTGATCAGGCGCAGGCCTCGGAAGCCTCCGCGCGCCGCCTCCCCGCGCTCCCACTCGCCTGCTGACGATGATGATGATGACGACGATGATGCTGATGATGATGATGATGATGATGATGATGCTGATGACGATGAATCGGATGATGCATCGGATGATGAATATGATGATGCTGATGATGATGATGATGGTGTTGATGATGATGGTGTTGATGATGATGATCATGATGATGAATATGACGGCGATTGTGATGATGATGCTGATGCTGCTGCCGCTGATGATGCTGCTAATGATGATGATGCTGCTGATTATGATGATGATAATGATAACGATGATGACGATGATGATGACGAAAATGATAATGCTGATGCTGCTGCTGATGATGAAGATGCTGATGCTGCTGATGATGATGCTGCTGCTGATGATGATGATGATGCTGATGATGATGAGGGCGACGATGGCGGTGGTTGTGGGGATCATGCGTGCTCGCTGCAACTGCCATCACGAAGCACCCGGCAGCGACTCCGCGCGAGCTCGGCGGGGACTTCCTCCGACCCCCGCTGCACCGCTGCGGACGTGCCCGTCGGCTTGGCACGGTGCGCCCACGAGCTGGGGCGCTTCCTGCCGCCTCTCGCCGCCACCGCCGTCGAGCTGGCAAGCGCCCCGTCGGCGAGGCCGCGTCCGCCGCCGTCGCGCCCCGCACGGCCGTGGCCGCCCGCCGCGCCTTAGCCGCCGAGCGCGCCTCGGCCGCGGTGGGCGTCAGCGGCCGCGGGGCCACCCTCGCACTCCAGACAACTACCCGGGGTCGCCACGGGGGGGGGATCACCACCTCCTCCTGGACATCGAGGGCCGAGGGGAAGGGAGGCTCGAGGAGCTGGGCGTCTCTGGGAGTCCTGGGGGGCTTCCCTCCTCGGCACTTCCTGGCGCGAGCTGACCCCGCCTCGCGCCCCAGACCTCGCGGCACCAACAAACAAACCTCGCGACGGCCTGTGGGGGCCTTTTCCCAGCCCGGGGGTCGTCAAAAAAGCGGCCCGGGATGAAAAACTGGTCCCTGGAAAAGAAAGGTCGAGACCACCATGGCCCCGCGCCGCAAAAAAAAGGCTTCGCCGGCAGACGAGGGGGCGTCTGCCGTCAGCGCCAACCAGCAGAGTATTTGCACAGCAGACCTGGGCTCTGGCCGATGCAGGCACACTGGGCGCCCTCCCGGCCACTTGCCGCTCTCCCCTGCCCACCCCGTCGCCACGCGCTGCCGCAACTCTCGCCACTGGGTCTACGCGTTTCGGTGGCGCTGCCGAGGGAGCCGCGCTGGACGTCCGCCGCCGAGTTTTCGTTGAATAGGGGGCCGCCCCTTGAAGCCTCTCAGAGGGGGGCCGAGTACGTGGGGCCGGCGGATCGCGCCGCATCGCCAATGCATCGGCGACGTCGGCGTGCAGCCGTCAAAATCGGGCCCCACATCGAGCCGCATCGCCGATGCATGGGCGATGCGGCGCGATGCTCCGACCTCATGTGCTCTGGGGTCCAATTGGGCGGCCCCGAGTGGGGGCCCCCGGGGAGGTGGGTGAGCGCGGGTCCCCGCGGGGGGAGGGGGTCAGAGAGAGGTCACAGGGGCGGGGGCCCACGTAAGGAAACACAGCCATGGCATCGCAGGCCTGCGCAGGCGCCGCGAGCAAAAACCGCGACGGCCGTCGCCGCCGTCGTCGCCACTGCCACCGCCGTCGCCGTCGTTGCCACCAAATGTGTGGGGGGTCCGGAAACGGCGAGAAACCTTCGTCTCGACCTTCTGGAGGCGCTGGAGGCATGGGATCCCCTCGTCGCGGGGGCGGTCCCTGGCAGCCGTGCGCGAGCGGCCGCCGCTGCGCGGAGTGCCGTCTGCAGACCCCCCCCTGTGGCCACGTGCGCGCGAGGGGGTGGCGGCGCGCAGGAAGGTGGCAAAGCAAGCCGGGCGGTCCCCTGAGAGGCTGGACCTGGTTTAGAAGTCCTCCTGCCTTCCAGCGACGCCTTGCGGGCAGCAGAGCCTCGACGGAGGGGGCAGGGTCCTTCAGATACCCCCCTGCCCCAGTTTGGTGGCTCCTGATGCTGCTCTAACACCGTCGGATGTGACTTAAGACCGAAGAGGCCCCAACAAACGGGGACAGCGGAGGGCGTCACCTTGTCCAACGGGGCCCCCAAAACCACCCCAAGACGGCCCAAGAGGCCCCCAAGGGAGCCCCAAGACCGCCCAAGAGGGCCCCAAGACAGCCTAAAATGTGCCCAAGAGGGTCCCACAAGGGCCCCAAGATGGAGACCAGGAGCCGAAAATCCGAGCCTTCCGCTCCAAGAGGCCTCCAGGACGCCCCAAGAGACCCCCAAGAGGCCCCAAGAGACGCCAAGAGGCCCGAAAGAGACCCCAAAAGGCTCCAAAACGGAGCCCCAAGAGGCAAAACTCAGTGAATTCCATTAGGTTCTTGAGGTTTTTGGCTTCCTCGCCGTTTCGCGTTTCCGACACTCCAGGACGGCCCAAGAGGCCCCCAAAACCACCCCAAGACGGCCCTAGAGGCCCCCAAGAGAGCCCCAAGACCGCCCAAGAGGGCCCCAAGACAGCCTAAAAGGCGCCCAAGAAGGCCCCAAGAGGGAAAATCCGAGCCTTCCGCTCCAAGAGGCCTCCAGGACGCCCCAAGAGGCCCCCCAAAGGCTAGAGCCCGAAAGAGACCCCAAAAGGCTCCAAAACGGAGCCCCAAGAGGCAAAACTCATTGATTATCTTAGGTGTTTGAAGGTTTTTGGCTTCCTCGCCGTTTCGCGTTTCCGACGCTGCAAGACGGCCCAAGAGGCCCCCAAGACCAGCCCAAGACGGCCCAAGAGGTCCCCAAGAGAGCCCCAAGACCGCCCAAGAGGGCCCCAAGACAGCCTAAAAGGTGCCCAAGAGGGCCCCAAAAGGGCCCCAAGAGGGGCCCAAGATGGATACCAGCAGCCGAAAATCCGAGCCTTCCGCTCCAAGAGGCCTCCAGGACGCCCCAAGAGACCCCCAAGAGGCCCCAAGAGACGCCAAGAGGCCCGAAAGAGACCCCAAAAGGCTCCAAAACGGAGCCCCAAGATCAAAATTTAGTGATTTCCATTAGGTTTCTGAAGGTTTTTGGCTTCCTCGCCTTTTCGCGTTTCCGACACTCCAAGACGGCCCAAGAGGCCCCCAAGACCACCCCAAGGCAGCCCACGAGGCCCCCAAGAGAGCCCCAAGACCGCCCAAGAGGGCCCCAAGACAGCCTAAAAGGCGCCCAAGAAGGCCCCAAGAGGGCCCCAAGAGGGGCCCAAGATGGAGACCACGAGCCGAAAATCCGAGCCTTCCGCTCCAAGATGCCTCCAGGACGCCCCAAGAAGCCCCCAAGAGGCCCCAAGAGGCGCCAAGAGGCCCGAAAGAGATCCCAAAAGGCTCCAAAACGGAGCCCCAAGAGGCAAAATTCAGTGAATTCCCTTAGGTTTCTGAAGGTTTTTGGCTTCCTCGCCTTTTCGCGTTTCCGATACTCCAAGACGGCCCAAGAGGCCCCCAAGAAGCCCCCAAGACCACCCCAAGACGGCCTAAGAGGCCCCCCAAAGAGCTTCAAGACAGCCCAAAAGGCGCCCAAGACGGCCCAAGAGGGCCCCAAGTGGAGCCCAAGATGGAGACCAGGAGCCGAAAATCCGAGCCTTCCGCTCCAAGAGGCATCCAGGACGCCCCAAGAAGCCCCCAAGAGGCCCCAAGAGCCGCCACTCTCTTTCTCTCTTTTTCTCTTTTCCCTCTCACGTCGAGTGGCATACCTGTCGCAACAGTTACACTGTGTTCATGGCCCCCGCATGAGCGTCCACGAGCAACGAGCCCCCACAAAGGCGCCAGGGACACCCCAGAGCGGCACAACCTAGAAGCCCCGTGGAAACAACGATTCCCCCGACACCTCCTCAGAAGGTCGACGCGAAGCTGTTTCGCGGGGGCAACTTCAACACCACCATCCCGAACGCAACGCCTCAGAAAAAAACATGCGCCGACCCCTGCAGCTCCGCACTGCCGACGACCTCTCGCCCAATCGACCGCGGTGCCTCATCATGGGCCGGCGGAATGAGCGAAGCGGTTAAATAATTGAATAGCATGTCGCGCCGAAGCGTGGTGGGCCAGGACTGGCGAGCGACACGCGACCGCACGTTCACGAGTGCTCCTGGAGGAAGGCCCTCTCTCCTCCGACGGCGCAGCTCCTGGGCAACGTGCGACCCCCGGGGTCTCGACCGCTTCCTGGGCTTCCCGCTCTTCCTTCTGAGCGGCCCCACGGCCGGGAGACGCGCCCCCGTATAAGGCTAAACAAACACGTGTAGGGCACCGACGCCTGGCCCAATGGGACCGTCGCCGCAAGTCCGCGGGCCAGCCACCTCAAACGAGCCATCTCGCCACCCTCCCCTCCCAGGCCTCTGCCCTCCCTGCCCCCTTCATACCCCCCCCTACCCACACCAACGCCACCAGGGCGAGGATATGCGAGGAGCAAGGGGGGTCTCCCTGGTGGCGTGGTCTCCCCCTCTCGCTCGCGGCATCCTCCCCAGCCTCCAGCTCGGGGGGGCATCGTGGACCTCCTCTCCGGAGGTGGCCCCCCTGGTGGTATCCGTGTCGCTTTTCCTCCCTCCGATACCCCTCACTGCTGCTCTCCTCTCCCCCTTTCCCTCTGGACCTGAGGGAAGCGGAGGGCCGGTGGCGCAACGAGGGTGAGAGGGGGCAGGCTTCTCAGAAGGCAGCGGGACTTCTCTCAGAAGGCATTCCCAGAAGGCTGGAAGCTTGCTGAGCCTTCTGAGAACCCACGCCCCCGGAGTCATGAGATTGCTTCACGGCGTCGACCCCCAAAGGTCTCGACGCATTCCCCGGAACCGGATTCTCACCCCGGGCCGTTGCTTGGCGGGGCCTGGCGACTCGCCATCGCTCGGACGTCCATTCCGTGTGTTTTTGTTCGGTTTCGTGCGTGTTTTTCGTCAATTTTTTTATTCCTCACTTACAGCCACCGCAAAGCATTATTCAGCAAATGATCTGTATACTGCTTACAAACTCAGCCGCCATGCGATTGAAAGACACGCCAGGCAAACCAGGAGCACCCCAAGAGCCGACCTGCGATATGCAAACTCAAGAAGTGTTTTTCGTCAAGTGATCAAGGATGCTCCTCGATGGTCCTCGCCGAAGGAAAGATGCACACGCCCGAGCGACGCCGAGGCGAGGGCCCCCGGAGGCCAAAGAGCTGCCCAGGCCCGCCGGGAGCTGCTCCGCCGCCGCGCGGCCAGAGCGCGCCTTCTCCCGCGCGGCGGCTGGCAGCGGAGGCCGTGCGTGACTACCTACCAGACCACCCCAACCCAACCCGAAGACCCGAATTTCGGGTTGGGGGGGGTATGGGCTCCACATGTGTTTTTTCGATGTTCCCGGACCCCCCCACTAGAAATCGAGGGTAAATCTGAGCCTTCGGGTTGGGTTGGGGTGGTTTGGTGGGTGGTGAGTGCAGGGGGCCACGCGCCCCCGCACGGCCGCGCGCGGCAGCGGCGGCGGCCGCGTGCGCGCGGCCGTGCTCGGCTGCACGCAAGAGTGACCCTGGGTAAGAGCGGCCTTCGGTGCGCGGCTTTTCGGGGGCCGCGAGGGGCCAGACCTGGGCGCGCCACCAGCTGCGACTGCTTCGTTTTTGAGCCACCCGGGGGCTCATCTGTGCCCGCACCAAAGGTCACTCCGGCGAAAGGTCACTCTTACGTCTAGTCGACGTGCGTGGGCTCTGCCCTCCCCCCTGGGCTGCGCCGCCGATGGCGGGCGGCACGCGCCCCTGCCCGCCCCCGCGCTCCGAGGTGGGGCCGCCCTGCGAGAAGAAGCCGCCGCAGCCGGTGTGCGGCGCCACGCCGCCCGCCTCCTGGGCCAGCGGCGGCCCGCCGCCGCCGCCGCGCCGGTGGTTGGCAGGGGCGACGCGATGTGCACGGCGAGTTTGCGTCGTGACGAGCCTGGCGCTGACTTCCGACGCCGCGTGGAGCGCCACACCCCGAGCGGTCGCGCTCTGCGAAGCGGCGGACCGTTCGATCTCTAACATCGATCGGCTCTCGGCCACCGCCGGCGCTGAAGCTGGAGTGCCCGCGGCGAGGTCGCCGAGGCGTCGACACGATGCGAGCCTGCCGTGCACATCCACCGTCTCTAGCCAGGCCCAGCCTCGACCGCTCCTGGGTCCATCCTGTGCCGCCGTCGCCGCCACCGCCGTCGTGCTGGTGGCCGGGGCGACGAGATCTGCGGTCAGGAGCTGTCGGCTACACGTAAGAGTGACCCTTGGGTAAGAGTGACCTTTGGTGCGCGGCTTTTTGGGGGCCGCGGGGAGACCAGACCTGGGCGCGCAAGCCGCTGCTGCCGCTTCGCGTTCAGCCATCTGGGGGACCATCTGCGCCCGCACCAAAGGTCACTCCGGCGAAAGGTCACTCTTACGTCCAGTCGAAACTGTTGCTTGGCGTGCCGCGGCGGCGGCCCCAGCGGCACGCTATGCCCTGCAAGCGGACAGCGTGTCGCTCCGCTCCGCGGGCGAGGGGGGGGCCGCTGGAGGCAGCTCGGGACGTTGATGCTCGGGGATGGGGACGTGGCTAGCGAGTCGCGCAGAAGCGTGCTTGGCCACAACCAGCGGATTTAACAGCGGCTCGCCGCCGCCGCCGCCATCGTCGCCGCCACCACCGTCGTCGTGTAGGCAGTGGCCAGTGCGGCGAGATCCACAGTAGACGCATGCGAAGAGAACCCTGCCAGGAGGAGATCCTGAGGCCATGCGGCTCGAAAGCGCCCGAAGACGACACAGGACGACGCAGCCACGAGACAGGAGGAGGAGGAGGAGGAGGAGGAGGAGGAGGAGGAAGAGGAGGGAGGAGGAGGAGGAGAAAGAGGAGGAGGAGGAGGAGGAGGAGGCCCCAAGCTGCCCCCGAGAGGGCCGCCGGACGATCCAACGATGCTCGCTCTGAGCACGGCTGGGCTTCCCACACATGGATGCACGGCGCCTGGACGCTTCCACGACCAACGCCCCCCGGACGAGAGGCATCCGCTGCGTCCGAGGGGTCGGCAGCACGGCGTAAACCAGTGGACCTTGCCTTAGGTCGGGCCTGTCCCCCTACAGGGGCATGTTCGACGAAAAATAAAAAAATAAAAAATACCCCCAAAATAATCCAAACATAGTCTGGGGACTATGTTTGAAATATGTTTTGGCCCTTTCGGGGCATTTTTGGGTATTTTTCATTTGTCGTCGAAAATCCCCCTGTATGGGGGACACGCCCGACATCTACCTTGCCCGAAGAGCTCCTGGGGCAGCGTCGTCGCCGGTCTTGGCGATGTGCTCCCGAGGTGCCCACGGAGCTCCTGTGGGTCCCCCGGCCCTGGCCAAGCCTTTCCTGGGCACTGGCGGCCCCTCGTCGTCGTCGCCGCCGCCGCCGTCGTCGTGTTTTGATTTGGGGTCGGCGCCATACACCCTGCGAAATGCTTTAGAGAAATTCATAGCCTCAGAACTTGAATAAAAACCCAGAATGTCGATTCAAATCTTAGGATTTGCATTGAAACATTAAGAATAATCAAGACTCTGGCCGAACATTTAAGTTTTCTTAAGCATCGCCTAGGGTGTACAGTCGGGGCGTTGGCCTGAGGAGCCCGAAAGAAGGCACGAGGCCCCCTGTTTTCCACAAGCTCAACTTCGACTTCCCATCGAATACCTCCGGAAAGCGTTAGGCAAGCTGCGAAACAATTATCGGCGGTGGACAACCCTCTCTTTAGCAAACCACCCTTTAATGAAACGGCCCAGGGCCGAAACCGACGGACCTGGAGCCGCAAAAATGGCGGCCGCGAGGCCCTCTCGCGAACCGAAAACGGCCAATTCGCTAATCAGAGACACAGCGAGAAGGAAAGGGCACACGCAGCACCAGAGGTGTGCCGGGGCCCTCCTGCACCCGCGGAACGGGGGCAGCGGAGCGGCGGACGCCGACGCCGGGGGATCGAGGCTCGAGGCTCGGGCATCGAGGCTCGAGGCTCGAGGCTAGAGGGTCGAGGATCCAGGCTCCAGGGTCGAAATATCGAGGCGCGAGGCTCGAGCCTCTGCTGGGGGCTCGAGGCACAGAGGATCGAGGAGGGCAGGAGAAGCGGGGCTGCGGCGGCAGCCCCCGCTGGCGGCCCCCGCGGCGGGGCCTCCTCCGTCACGCAGGGGTCGCGGGCGTCGGGGCCGCCACGGCGGCCAGCGCCGCCGAGGTGGCCGGCGCCGAGCAGGCCTCCCGCGCGGGCAGCCACGGGCGCTCGGGCGTGCAGCACGGGCGCGGCAGCGAGTGGGGATTTCTGTTTTGGGGCAGCTTAGAGGGCCCTCCTTTCTCGCTCCTCCTCCCTCCTTTCTCGCTCCTTTCTCGCTCCTCCTCCCTCCCCTCCTGCTGCTGCCGCTGCTGCTGCTGCTGCTGCTGCTGCTGCTGCTCCTCCTCCTCCTCCAATCGCGCACGCTGTGCATTATGAGACAGCCGACGTGCAGTCGCTCCCGCAAAGCGGCGAGTTCAGGCTGGCGTTGTCTTTTGCCCACGCGCTCCGGCGTATGGCAGTTTGTTCGTTCGCTTAGAGGGCCGATTCACGATGTTGTTTGAACTCGCTGGCCAGTGATCAAAAGAGACAAGCAGCTGTCGCCATCGCCTCGCTGTCACGCCCCAGAGGCGTGGTCCCTGAAAATGGGCAAGACAGCCCGCCCCCCACGGATTAACACCGGGTAAGGAGTCCAGGGTCCGGAGAGGAGGTGGGGCACCAGTTGGGAAGTGCATGTGCGAAGGGGCCCCAGGACACACAAATAAATACACACAAGTAAAACTATTCCCCATATGTTCCTATATGTTCTGGGTGTCTGTCTTCCCCCCCACTCCCCATATTTTCCCATATTTTCCTGGGGGTCAACGATTAATTGTGTCTGTGTGTTTTTTCCCCTCCTGGGCAAAGTCCGTGTAACGAACGGCCCGACTGCGGGCACAGCAGGATCAGGCACCAGGCTGCCAGCAGCCCCCGGGGGCTTCTCGTCCCCCCCCCCCCCTGGCCGTGGGGGGCCGCGCAGGCCCCTGGATTTCCCATATGGCAAGATTTGTTGTCGCTGCAAGCTCTCGAAGTCGGCGCTTGTCTGACTACCTACCAGACCACCCCAACCCAACCCGCCGAAGACCCGAATTTCGGGTTGGGGGGGGGTAAGGGTTCCATAGGTGTTTTGTTCGACTTCCCGACCCCCCTCCCACACTGGAAATCGAGGGTCAATCTGAGCCTTCGGGTTGGGTTGGGGTGGTTTGGTGGGTGGCGCTTGTCGCCGCGGCGAGGGCTGGGAGCGCAAGGGTCCCAAGCCCTCGGACGCTCCCCGGGCCTGGCGCCGACACCGGCGGGGGGTTCTCTGGACGGCCGACCGCGGCAGCTCCACCGGTGATCTGCACCGGCCAGAGCTCGGGCCTCGAGCCCAGACGTGCGAGCCCCGCCCCCTGTGGGGCCAGCCTTCCCAGACGCCGGCCGGGCCTCGGAATCCGAATGGCGCCTGCAGCCCCCTCCTCCCCGTCCTCCTGCTCCTCCGCCTGCTCCTCCTCCTTCCCCCGACCTTCCATTCTCCAAAACTTTTGGTAGAAAGTCTACTTTTTCCCACATTCTTCTAAATTTATTCGGAATCGCGCGTTCGAGCACGATGCGCAAAATAATCCAAAAATCTTTGAATAAAAAAACTAAGCACGCATTATTCTTCATATTTTTGGATATTTTCCATTCCGTGCAACAGCAAAGCAAATGTTAAAAAAAACCTGACGTAAGAACAAATGTATTAAAAATTGTGTTTAACATTAATATCTAATACCCTCATGTTTAAGAGTACCGTAGATTTACCATATATGGTAATTCGTATATAAACCATATATATGTGTGTGTGTGGAGGGACACAAATACACAAACACCAATAATCGTCGATCCCAAAGAAAATATGGCAAAATATGGGAGGTGGGGGGACGACAAAACCCAGAACATAATATGGAAAAATGGGAAATACTGTTGTGTATATTTATTTGTGTGTCCCAGGGCCCCTTCGATATGTATGAATAGATTGGCAATCGAGCTGGAGATATGTGTTAACATCGCGTGCGCACTATCACACATCCTGAGTGCTCTTCCGAACCCCTTCTTAGGGAGGGAGGGAAGGGCAAGAGAGGCAGAGAGAGGGAAGGAGGGAGGAGAGATGCAAAGGAGGAGGATGGAAGGGAGGAGGAGGAGGAGGAGGAGGAGGAGGAAGCCGAGGAGGAGGAGGAGGAGGAGGAGGAGGAGGAGGAGGAGGAGGAGGAGGAGGGGGAGGAGGGGAGGAGGAGGAGGAGGAGGAGGAAGAAGAAGAAGAGAGGGAGGTAGAGAACGGCATAAGTGGATAATGAAACGGGACGTTCGAGAGGGAGCCGCATCGCGCTGCAAATTTCTGCCAAGGCCCGCCCCGTCCTCGTTCAAACTCGCACTCTTAAAAATGCGACCCCCTATACTTCTCGAGCAGAGAAGTGGTGATGGCGACAGGCTTGCAAAACTCTGCCATGTCACTGCACTGTCCTATCTCTGACTCGTCTGCGTAGGCCCAGTACGAAGAGGCCGAACCAAACAGGTTTTGCTGGTCAGTGCAGCAGTGGAGAAACAAATGGTGTTTGGGGTACCATCTGTAAAACGTTCCATACGGGCACACATGGATTAGGGAAATCCTGTGAAACGCCCTGTAAAGAGCGAGATGTTGGTGGGCAGCCCTACTGATTTCTACGTGGGATTGGGCAGGGTCATAGTTTTTCAGGGACTCGTAGACGCGGCACAGAGCAGTGACCATGTCATATCTCATGGTGTCTCGATCTGTCGCCATCGGGAAATAGTCAGTAAGCAAGTACGGCATGACTTCGAGCATTCTTCTGCCCTCTGCGGCCTAGAGCGTTCTGGGAAACACCACATGGGAGAGTGCAGGAGGAACTGGGAATGAACCAGGACTGGGGGGGAGAACGAAACTATAATTTAGTTAATCTCAGCTCATTACATGATGAGCTCATCACATAAAGAGCTGAGATTAACCAACCCTGCCTGCATGTATGTTTAGTTTGTTTTGTGGGGAGAACGAGTTGGTCCACCCGTGAAGCCTTGAGCTTGAGCTTCGGTGGTGCTGAACGCGATGCCCTGATCATTCCTATCGATAAGTGTCCGAACGGAGCTTGAATGTGATGTTGCTTGGCCGCCATTTTGACCAATCCGCATAAACGACCACATACGACGACGTGCCTGTCGAATGTCCCGCCCATGTGTGTGAAAAGCTCCCACATGATGTTTCCGAGAACGTACTGGACAATGCCCAGGCATGAGCAATGCATAAGGTCGGCAACCACCATCGACATGTCAAACCCTGGTAGCCGAAACAGCCCAGCGAGGTGTCGCTGGTTGCGCAACGTATCATTGAGAAACTGCTCGTGCGATTGCAGCGTGCCTCTCCAAGCAGCTGTCGGTGATATGTCACCTGGCTATACAACGGCATTCTTAAACTGAAGGTGCGAGGAGTGGGACGTGAGAGGAGGGAAACATGTGTTAAACTGAAGGTGCGAGGAGTGGGACGTGAGAGAAGGGGAACATGTGGGAGCAGAGGGTGAGGAGTGGACGTGGGGCAAGAGAGATTACAGCAAGTCACGGTAGTTGCCGACGCATGCCAAGCATTTGAAACATACCCGCGTGTCGGGTCTGTCTCCTTTGTTCCACCCGCATAGGCCGAGTCCTTGCTTCAGCCACGCCCAGTCCCCTCGTGCCTGACATACGAATCCACGGATTCGAAATGGTGCGTTGCTCCGTTTAGCTCTCCACGTCCTGTCCGAATAATACACCGAATCATTGAGCGGGACGCCGTCGTGGCGGCGCGAAGGCATACTGCCAGCTAGCCAGTGTCTGGCGCTCCACTCCAGTACATCCCACACCACCTAGGAGGCAAGCACTTAAAATCAAGCGCCAGCTGGTGGATGAGCTCTCCCTGCATCCTTGAACCCCCCCTCCCAAGTCAGTGTCTCTCTGTCTCTGTCTCTCTCTATACCTCTCTCTCACACTCTACCTGGTACGTATATATAAGCAGTATGTTTCGAGTGTATGTGTGTGCGTGTTTGTCTGTCTGTCTGTCGGTTTGTCGGTCTGTCTGTCTGTCTGTCAGTCTGTCTGTCTGTCTGTCTGTCTGTCTGTCTGTCTGTGTGTACGTGTGGGACGGTGCTCGCCCCCCTCCACCCCGCCTCCCATTGGAACTCAGGCAGCCTTGAACGTGTGACGGCCGTGGCACCCACATTGGCAGACCTTGGACTTTGGGAATGCGCAAATCCACCAGCGTTTTTTATCTGGGCCTGTCAGCAAGTTCCAGACGAACAGGAAGATCGAATCCCTCATGTTGCTCAAGTGTGGCGCCGAGCCACCCCAAACTCCAATACTGCCAATAGGTGCACCCTCGTCGCTGGAAACTCCCAGGCGCGCCAGCGCATGTGCTAATGTCTGGTGCAAAGCTGGCTGCGCTGGGTCGTTGCAGTACTCAACCTCCTTGCCTTCGGGGACCGTGTTCTCTAAAACTTCGCGGGGCAGCAGGAACGACAGCATCCCCCTCGTCTGTTCTCCCGTATCGCTGTTCCAAAATACAGCCTCGGCTTGGTAGAGCGGGGGTAATAGAGAACCACGCCTGAGCGTAGATGCCAGATCCCTGAGGGACACAACGAAAGCAATACTTAAGCAATGTGGCGTTTTAACTGCTCCAAGCAGTTATAACACCACATGGCTTAAGCTCATACGCCCACTGACCTTGGCGCGTTTTTGGGATTCCGTCCAGCAGTCGCCAGCTTTGCTAGTCCCCCGCCGATTCTGTCAGAATCAGCTGCGTGCGCCCGCTCTCCAGCTAGTGCAGAAATCGCAGATATTCGACCCCGAGTGTACATGCCGATTGTCCACTTTTCCCCGCTGGACCTACGGAGAGTCGGGATGAGGGTAGGACGATGTAGCGTCGGGGGTAGGGTGTGGGCCCAGAGGGGGCGGAGCATGTGAATTAACATTGTATCAGGGTGACCGATTCGGCTTCTGCTTCTTCCGCACATCGCTAGAAATCCCCAGGCGGGCGTGCAGGCTGCGCCGTAGACCCATCAGAACTCTGATGCTAAAACGGCTCGCGCAACGAACGCGTGCAGCCTGGGATCACGAGAAATCTATATACACAGAAGTTCGCTGGCATTTTCGCGCCACACCGCGCAGGCGAGT